CCAAACCACATCTTGCCCAAATTTTTAATTTTCGGAGATCGATTTGATACTGTCGACTGCGGCATTAACTTTGATCGGCTGTCGGATTCAGTGATTGACCGTAACTCTAAACTTATTGCACACGGCAGGATATTACTCTCGAATATGCTTATGGTCCACAGATGGGAGGCCATAGTGACCGGAGACTTAAGTGCCATTTTGGTAAGTGGAGGGAGTCCTCAGAAGAAAACAGGGACAACTCCTTTGATATAAGGCAGTCCGCCCTGGATAAGGAAAGTTATGCCACCCATTCGGTCAGATGCCCGAGAAATATTGCAAGAAAATTAAATATCTCAATGCCTGGATGTAGTTTACACAACTTATGGGAGGGAACTTCACTTATTAGCAAGGGCGACTATGCTGCGATGCCCTTGGCTCTAGAAATCAGTTTTCAAGACCACCAGCATGGTATGAGCCAGTCAAGCCGTATCGACAAGCATGCATTTAACCTTCAATTGGCGTGGTTTTAAGGATGTCGTGCCCTAACCTTAAATATGAGAACTGGGCGATATAAGTGGTGTGGGGAAGTTGTAATAACATCATCCAGGCGGTTGCCATTGGCGTACTCATTAAGGTAGTTTGTACCCCGAAATGGCCAATGATCATGGATTTACCGTAGAGTCCAGAACTGTATTCATAAACAAAACGATTTATGCTTTAGCTATTACAGGCAAAGGACATCAAGAAACCACTAGGGGTGTAAAGTAATTTGAACCAGGCCCTGCACTGTGATATCACCGTAGCAGACGGGTTAAGCAGATGGGATTGTCTAATTCCCCGCAGTCCAGTCAAACATAGGTCTCAAATATATCTGCAGAAATATGGAAAACAGCAACTGTTTGACGGTTATCTGTAGAAGCGAAAACTCTTACACAAAGGAGGGGTGCGGAACTCACAATCTCTCTTCATATTTTGATGTAGACAAAGGAACGTGTCGGCCCCACCTTCTTTCAAAAACCATTTGTTGTTTAGGCCACCATTTCAAAGGCAGAATGATGCGTAAATTGTCCCACCTTTACCCATAAAAAGGACTAAAATCAGATATTACATTGCTGACTCTTTAAAAGTCCCCGTTTTTAACGATATCAAGAAAGCGACAAGCATGACGGAAGTGCTGAACCTCAACAGTAACCACCCGATCAGTCACAAGCGCAGTTGCGCAGGGGCGTTATGTCAGCGTGTTGAGACGCATTACGTGAAATGGAAAGCAAGGTTGTTGAATTACAATAACTTCGACGGGTACTGAGAGAAAACAGCGATTCGAGCAACTTTGCCAACCAGTGGATAGGCAAACGACACCAAGGACCAATAAATTCAACCGGCCATAAATTTTGACGAGCTCTTCCGTACGTGAAGAACGTCTCGGAAGCCGTCAGTCGCCGTCTCACTCCACTTGGATTTTGGGTTGCACACAGGCCGGAAGCAACCATTAGGCGCCGGGTCATGAGGCCGAAAGACCCACTGCCACGGCAGGAAACGTCCGAATTCGTTTATCGGATATGGTGCAGTTGCGGACAGAGCAACTACATCGGCGAAACTGGGAGATTACTACGAACGCGCATGGCTGAGCGCGCAGCAGCGGTGAGGAGGAAAGACGCCAGCTCTCGTGTAGCAGCTCACTCCACGGAACCCGACCATATTTTCAAGTTTCAAGAGGCCGAAATCCTCGCAAGAGCTGAAAACTGCGTGAATCGCGAGCTGCTCGGATCATGGTGCTCAGGCCCGCAATCCATCAACAAACGCAATGACCTGCCGGTACCATATTGAGTGCTGAGCATTCCCTGAGCAGGTGAATCCATCGCGTGAAGAGGGCGCGGGCGCTCAACTATTCTGGTGACAGGGGGCCAAATTACGGAGTCATCGTCATGTCAACATCCAAGACGGATGATGAAATCGCGGCAATTAACGACTCGGAAGCGGACTGATGAGCCACCATCGCATTTATTACGGGCTCCAGGAGTGATCACGAGAGCTGTTACTTATAGTACGCATGTGGCCCCATGGCAGCTACGTACTATGAATACTGTAGTCTTTGGGCCTCCACTACCCTTACCTGCAACCGTCTCTGATAATTGCTTCGAGTGAGAATCCGAAACGTCAGGCTAATAAACTCTTTGTTCCAGTGGTCGCACCTTTTCCTTCTGAGCTGTCTCCTGAAACTCACCTGCTGGCTTCTATCGGCGATATCAACCCCTTGTAAGTCTTGGCTAAAGATGGCCTTCATTCGATTTTGTTGATGTACTTGTGCAGAAATCATGCCTATTTGCACAGTACTCCTAGCTCAGACTTTGAGCTTAAACTAGACGCTGTCACTGATGTTGTCTTTGCTGTCTCCTGAGAACTGTTTAACGGGCAACCTGTACTGTACTGATTCGCGCGGCGTTCTTCCTAATTGGCAGACAGCTTCAAACTCTCAGCAAGTAAACTTCTTCCACTCTCCTTACGACTTTTGTCCGGTTTCATTTAGAACACCGTTCAACTCACAGTGCGTCTGTCGGCTACTAAACGCGGGGCTTGCCCAACCTAGTCGCGCCATGCCATGTCGCACCAGTACCCAAGATCGCCAGTGTCAGTTCAGATTTCTTCAACTGATCCCATGGCACCCGCAACCTCCGTAGACACGCCCAAAGTTCGTAAACCGCGAATGAGGACAGCAGAATGGATCATCTACCGCCCTCTAATAGGTAGCCTGGGAAAGCATAAAGTACGAGTTCACCTACAGTAAATACATATTTTGTACGCTGTGTCAACACCTTAGTTGATCCCATTTATTTGCGGGCAACAAACAAGAAAATTCGTTTACTTGTGCAGTTTTCTGTGCCGCGTTCCTTAATCTGAGATATTCTGCTTCTTAGCTAAATTTAGCACATTTCGTTTACTTTTAACTGATGTAATAGTGCCTTTCCGTATGCGTCAACTGCGCCCGATTTCGACCCATGCAAGGGTTCGTTGTGTTATCACACAATTTTGCAACTGCTGGATGTTGATTCCTTTGGCCGCAACCTTCCAAACCTCACCTAGGTTTTCTGCTAGAACCTGTGCCACTTGCTTTAGGGTTTCCAGCTGGTACAGATGGCAAGAGAAAGGAATCAACGTATCTGGGAGGCCTCTGATTTTTAAATACTTCCTTGGTCAATCCCTCCCACCAAAATTCTGCTTGGCGTAATTAAGTGTTTGGTCTAGTTCTGCACAGATACTTGGCAAAACCAACCACACCTGATGGTCGCCTGGTACCAAAAACAAACGAAGATTCATTGAACTACTTCCATTTCTAAAAGTGTGAGCAGTTCAGCTCAAATAAGTGATTTAGAAAGCGAGATGGCGGGGAACTTGCTTCCTGTTGATTACGTCAAAGATGTAGCAGGAACAAACGAATACTTTGCAAATTCAGGAATTCATACTACTCGACATTCAAGCATCGCTATCAGAAAGTTCCCAACTATATAGCGACCATATCTTTCTGGTTACTGTGCCGTTGACTTTGGTTTTCACTCAAAGTAAACTGTTTAGCTAGTGGTAGTCAGCTGAATTTTACAATCGATCTAAATAGTGTCAAAACGCTTGCAAACGTGAAGGCAATAAGACATGCTAGCATTATGGAGCGTTCGGAATGTCAGAGCAGGTGAGAGGTTGTACCGAGTTTGGGCTCGTACCCAGGACTCAAAACCATCGGCTATCTTACTGCATCCGTCGACAGAATTGCTAAGCATAAAAAAGATATAGCGCATCCTAATAACTGCAGTCACACTCGGTCGGTAATGCATAACGTCGAAAAACTTAAACTGGTCCTCAATGTCTTCGATAAGCCTAAGACAGTTTCATATACTTTATTCAAAAACAAACTGACTGCCAACTTGCTTCCCACACCCTGTAGATGATTAGTCAATACCAGTGTGTATCCTACTGGTTATTACGTCGTCGAGTCTATGTTCATCCTTTTTTTTCTGATAGGTTGCTCTAAAACTTTTAATTTGCCAGGTCCAGAATTGCAGAAGGTGTCGAAATAGCCAAGGGAATAACATAAAATCGCACACTACCTTGAAGACGCCCTCCGTCTGGAGTTGACCGCCACAAAGATGCATTCAAATTTTTTTCCGTTCCGCCCGCCAAAAATGATCAAAATTAAAAGCTCACGCCAGTTGTGTCGATGTGGAAAGTTTCGGACTGCAGCTTCTTTCCCCAATGCCAGAAGTCAAACTTAGCAGCAGCCATAGGGCGTTTGACGTTTTTTCTATCTCTCGCAAATGCACGACGGAGATGGGCGTTCCAACCTGGTCATTAAATATCCGATCTGCAATGTGGGTGGGCGATTAGACATACACGGTAGAATGAGTAGAAAGTTTTTAACTTATTTCCGGTCATTAAACAGCCATATTCCATCGATATTCCCACCCCGGATTCTCGACGACTCAGGGCGACATTATTCTGACCCTGCTTGATAAAAAATTATTCCACCTCAGCGAAATAAAGTACTGTATAACTAAGGCATTCGATATTTCAAGTAAAATTTGACGACACTTCAATTAGTGAACGAGCTTGTTCCTATGGTGGCGACTATATATATATATATATGTGTGTGTATGCTGGACATGTGACTGCACAGCTGACTTTAACAGGTAAGTTCCAGTTAACGTCCAGACATTGGTTCCCACCTCATCTTGACAGTTACAAAAAGCTGAACAACTTACATGCCTTGCATCCAACTTTGTTCCACCTTGGAATCATTAGTGGCTAGTCCGGGAGAAGTTATTCGGAGAAGAACCGCCAGTAACAGACGAAACAGGATTGACGGAAGGTAACCGGCACAGCCGCCTAGAAGAGGCCTTGCGTCAAGAAGTCTGGTTAATTTCATTCCCTGAATTGCCCACAGCAGGTACTAGGACGAATAAGCTTTATCCAACGTCTACCGCCGTATTCCTCCCTGTCCGCCCAATAGTTGCGTCTGCGTTTTGGTTCAGAGTATGCGGAGGGAGGATAGGTGCGCAGGGCTAGCGCCGGTATGCCTTCTGCTCACGCGTAGGGCACAAAGCGTGTGCAAAAGCGGCGAAGTAACAACGACGAGGAGGAGGACAACGGCTGATCCCGTAGAAACAGCGGTGTCGTGGGAAACTGTCTGGTCGTTCTCGGCAGCTACTGGCCTCCACCGCCACAGCTATTGCGCAAGAAACGCCGTCTGAGGAGTAGGAGGAGGGTGGAGAGGAGGAGGAAGAGGACAGCAGACATAGGTACACACACACGCACACACACACCCACACGAACACTTAAAAACACGCGCACGTACAATTAGCTATCGACAAATTAACGCTCGCCCAGTTCGCGCACTTGATTTCGCATCTCGACGGTCACATGCGGCACATACCGCCTCAGCGGCGAAGTGAAACCTACGGGCACACGCACTGTGTGCTGCCCACAGCACGTAAGTACACTCAGTTCGGGGGGTGAGATAGGAAAGGGGAAGAGGGCGCGCCCACGCACGTTTCACATTGGTTTCAGCGAGGCTGGGGTGCTGGTGACGCTGTCCTCGCAACAGCGTGGCTAGGCGACGGTACAGCAGCAGCAGCAGCAGCAGCAGCAGCAGCAGCAGCAGCAGCAGCAGCAGCAGCAGCAGCAGCAGCAGCAGCAGCAGCAGCAGCAGCAGCAGCAGCAGCAGCAGCAGCAGCAGCGGCAGCAGCAGCAGCAGCAGCAGGAGCAGCAGCGGCAGCAGCAGCAGATCACGTGGGCAAAGCAACACCGGCACTTACGGTCGCCCCATCGGTAGGCGCCACTTTGCATAACATTTGAAAGTACCGTCTTTTTCGGCAGCAAAAGGGGAAATCTGAAAAAATGATCGAAGGTATGCGAAAAAAAGTGCGGCGACACGATCCTCGCATAGTTCGGGTCGTACGTCTGGTATACCCTTCTTTAGAAAAGAACGAGACGGTCTCAGGACAAGTGGAACAGGCTTCCGATTAATGCGAATATAACACGGCTTTCCATAACACGACAGTGGTACAGGCTAAAGGACGAAAAACGTTTTCCTGCGGTCATGTGTGGCAATTACCTTTGCACCGTGTTTGTTGGTTTAGCCCGTGTTAAACGAATTATAGTACAAACCACTATTTGTTAATTAGTGCTATGCAAAAAGGAGCGCTGCAACTCACATTTAAAAGGAGTTTCCGAGGTTTTAAGCTGGAATGCTTGACAAGGGCCAACACCTCAACAACCAGAACCGCCTCTTCTAAATCTCGGCTGAAAATTTTCAATTTATGACTTCAAAATAAAGCGGATTCCCCCCACTCTCTGAAAACCACTAATCGCGTTAATAGGTTAAGATTCCCAGGCAAGTCATTTTCGTTAAAATGTCCCACACACATACCAGAAACTGACTTTTCGAATCCGATGTATGAAGGCCTTGATCAATTCATGCATGATTTGCTGTTTTATTGTGGTGACACAAGCTTCGCGGCATTAATAGTTTTTGAAGACAGGCTTTTTTTCGGCAAAAGTTGGAATTGACATGGACACGGTAGTAAGAAGGTAGAATAGAAGCCCCTCCGTAATACCGAGAACTACGCAAAATTCCAGGGTGATTGGGACTAGGATTAGGAGTATGGGTAATGTTTAGGGGTAGTTTTCGGGTTAGGGCTAGTGTTTTGGCTGGAACTACGACACGGACATACATGCCCTTCCCGGTATTTATTGCTAAACCACCAGCATTATGAGTGGTTCTTATTCCCACGTCTTGCTGAACTGACGTCAAGTGATCCGATTTGCAGCGGGGAGCATGCCTTCTCCCTTGGAGGCTCCAGCGTGACTAGTAATACGCAGACCTGGTCTGGACAAAACTAAGGGAGACTGAAACGGTATTGCTGGTCTGGTGATTTTCATCAGGAAGCTATATCCAATATACTGAAACTCACCGACCGGAGCTTCGCTGGTTACTCAGAGGCCGGTAATACCAAAATTCCTTTGTTCCTTCGATCTGCATTCTTCCATCATATTAGTATGTCGGAGAGCACAGCATCAGCAAGCCAAAATTGTCCCATAGACAAGAGCTTGGAAGTGGCGTTTCTCCTGTCGGATATCTGTTTACAAAAAGAAGCTGCGATTGCCGGAATAAGAAGTTTATTGGCCTGACCACATGCCCACAATAATTAGCAGTACTCAGGTTCGACGCTGGGATCGTTTTTGATGCGACGATGGCTTATCGATCCGTAACTCAGTCGTAAATTGTCGAGTTTTTATCACGGTTTTTGAATTGTTAGCGTGACGATTACCTGGCCATTCGGCTCAATGACATCCGAACTGTTGCTCATCCGCGTCCTCCCAATGGGGCCAAGTAGTTTGTCCAGGCAACGTCTCCGCACACAATACGGAAACGGAAGTTCATTCCGCTCGTAAATTTAATGCGGGCCGAAGAACCATGGCTCTAGCAGGTCACGGCTCACGCGGTTGTAAACAATTGCGAGATTTGCGACCTCGTCAAAGTTGAAGGCGCGGCCGGATCTCATCGAATGAATTGCACTGTGGGAGCTAGCGTCGTTCCGCCCAGTGGCGGCGATGGCTTTGATTTCGGAACTCGTAGCTGAGGCGGCCACGCAAAGTCTGGAGTCGCTGATCGTCCTACACCATAGAACTAAATTCTGTGCTCGTTATGCGGATGCCATCTTTGTCGTCATCGAACTAGGCCAGGTGACAGCATTCAAAGAACATCTCAACGCCGTCTTCCCAGGCATACAATTCACGATGAAGGAGGAAGAAAACAGCCACAAAGATTGTGGTGGACTGGTTACTAAAGCATTCAGGAAACCTCCCAATAAGATGCACGTGCTAAGCTTCAATAGCAGAATATTAAATTAACGGCAATCGCAGTTGTCTAAGGACGCTATAGTAGTGTGTCGAGAGTCGGTGAAGCAAACCGGAAAACAAGTTTACTGAGTTACAATATCTCCGAGCAGTGCTTAAAGAGATGGCTACCCGCGTAACTTCGCCAGTCGATGCATGCGTGGACATTTCAAGAGATAAAATCCAACATGCCCCTACATTTTGGCCAATGTGAAGAACATCCCGGAAGCCACCAGCTGCCATCTCACACCACTTGGAGTTGGGGTTGCGCACAAACCGGGAGCAAACATCAGGCGCCTGGTCATAATGCCGAAAAATTTACCGCGACAGCGAGAAACGCCCGGAGTCTTTAACCGGAGCTGATGAGGTTGCGGACAAAGCCATGCAAAACTGCCAATTATTACAGGCATGCAATCGCACGGCAACTAAGTCATATAGCAATGTGCTCCTTGTGCCTCCATTTCCTTTAACTGCGGTCCTCCTTGATAACGGATTTGAGTGAAAATCTGAAACGTTTGGCTAATAAATTTCTTGTTCCAACGATCCCATTTCCTTCCGAACTGCTTTTTGGAACTCCCAACTTCGGTACTATCGGACATTTTTTTGTTTCAAAAGTAGATCATTTATGCCAGTCCACATTTGTTTGAACTTTCGGACACCGATTAGTGCGTCAGCCGCCTCAGCACTGCTTGCAAAACCCTGTTAGATCCCCCCTCTCTAAGAATATGTCCCTGCTTGATGCCACACAATTTTTCCTCGTAAAGTGGGAATAAATATAAAATACTAATGTCTATCTATTCTTCCCTTCATTTCTTATTATTGGGAAACATCGTAAAAGACTCTCTGGAGAAGACCAGATTAGAAGTCGCAGTCTGGACGGTGATATCCGTTCGAATTAATTTAGAGTGAGGTAGACTTGCGCATCACCCATCATACTCTCTCTTGCAGCGTCCATCTGGCTCCGATCGTAAAAAAGTTTGAAGATGATCACAATCGAGCTCGGACGCAGTGATTGAAGAAGATAGACAGTCAATATACTCGTGTCACACGAAATCTGATTCTTACAGAATCTGCCAGGCTTCGACATGGACCGTTGGGATCTCATATGCGCGTGAGTGTCATAACGGCGTCTGACTCTTAGTCCTTAAAGGGACCGTGTCAACCTGTCATTCAGTAGCCTTCCAAGCTACAACTCTTGACCGGTCCAGCGAGCCTCAATAGTATCGGATTAATTGCAGTGAGGAACTGCGTATCCGTCGTGGGGATAGATTCCCCAGCGCCGGCCACACCCCCTCTTCCTTCTCCCATGCGCCAGTCCACTGTCCGAGTCCGTCAGATATCTGGTGCTTGAATTGGACGCAATGGCTGAGACGACGTAAAGGCCTGCTCCTATGCACACCACCGCATCCTTACCATGGTTGGCAGTAGTTATGGACACACGCGGACTACGCAGCTTGATTGACGCGTACAGTGGACCGGTCTGACCTGCATTTTGGACTGGCGCATCTGTGGCGTTTTGGTAGTACATACAACTGGGGCTGCAATTGGGGCGATGCGCAGACGGTCAGCAAGACCCCTGCACAAAGATGACACACTGGTAAACGATAGTTCGACCATCGGTTTCGACGATGTCCATCGTGTGCTCTACAACAGGGCGGAGTAGGAACGGTGACTTGTGCGTGATTTAGTTTATAGTAAATGCAGACTTGCAAGCAATCTACCGCACCCTCTCCTCCTCCCCCACCTGAACCCGGTGTCATGGCAGAATCAAGAAGACCGGAGACGGGAGAGGGCGCAGGTGGATGGCACAGTCGGACCCGCACCTTGGTGTTCCATTCCACACTCCCTGGTCCACACAACAAATGACCAGGTTTTTGACCAACAACAAGGGGAGGGGTGACAGGGGTCCCAGTGTGCGCGACGTACGCCGACAACCGGGTCTGCTATCGCATCCCGAAATGTTGACATTTGTTATGGTGCGCAAATCCGATAACGCCTGCCAGAATCCGATATGACCCCGTGTTCGTCCAGCGCCTCTACCACGTGGCCCGTTTGGGGGGTATACGCTGGCAAACAAACCTTCCTCCACATGCATACGTTTACTTAGTGCATATATACATCTGTCCTTCTGATAAGACCAACTTCCACTGTGATAAACCTACAATTAACGCCAAACCCAAGGTTTAAATTCCGAGCGATAACTTCGGCTTCTGTCGGGATGTATTAAGCTCACAGCACCCCCTATGCAATGCACTTTGTAGTACTCTCCCTCTCTGCTTGCAGGATGTCCACTGCGAGCTGCAGTCCGTCCCATTCTTTAAACAACGGTCAATGGTAATTCAGAACTCTCCAGTAAAATTGCAGCAGCATAACTTACCCCAAATTTTACTGAAGGACTTGTACTGGAATCTACGTAGCAATCTCATCAGCGGATTTTGAACAGAAGCAGATTTCGGTGCGGTATTTCTCGTAATCGGCATTGGTGCTGGGACATGTGACGCGGATTTTCGTTTGCATGCTGTCAGATCTTGACTAATTTTTTTCGGGAAGCTGTTAGATGCGGCTATGTTTTTTGGACTGGTTCATTGAATTGCATTTAAACTTATCTTCTTTCATCCAACATGTCTGGATCAATCACATAAGATTTTCTGTCATCGGTCTCCTGGTACTTTCGTCAAATCCGCAATCTTGCTTCAAACATCAACCACTTGAATAGAGGTTCCCTGGTGACACTGTCGCTGGTATCTTGTGATATAGGATGCTCATGGACGGATGATGCACTAGGTGTCTCTCCGTAGCCCTTGTTGTGCTCTGTGCTTATTCTACTTTGAAGCCATCTGCGCCAACGTTGCACTTGACGCCAAAAAGCTCTGCTCGACGAGATTTCATCAAGCTAAGGAGACAAGATGGTTTACGGCGTTTATTAACAGGGTC